ACGGAGCGGCTTGAAAACTTTGGTGACTAACCTGCAATTTCAATTTTTCAGTGTTCCACATGGCAACACCACTACCAACAATCAATACGAAACTAACGATTTTAAATTGGCTCACCACTTTAGTAGCCTATTGGTCCCAAGCAAACGATTAACGTACCCTATTCTAGTCGAAATTCTAGTACTACGCAATGTTTGTTTTGATTGGCTATGAAAGTTTGACAGATAAAATGAGGGGTTATTGGTTTTTCCTATGTTTCGAGGGGTGATTCGACAAGCTTGGGACCGAAGATAGTACCAGAGGTGAGCCAAAAAGTTGAGCTCGTTTCTTCGGGACCTACTTGTCTTAGAGTTACCTCTATGCCACTACTACTGGATTGTACCATAGAGGTAACTCTAAGACCACTGGGTCCCGAAGAAAATCATTATTATTTTTGGCTCACTCAGTACCAGAACAACGGTCCCAAGCAGTCCCAAGCTATTTCACTCACCCCTGCATGTTCTGCATGAATCCACACACCCCTGATGTTATCTGTCAAACTTTCATAGCGAATCAAAACAAACATAGTGTAGTAATAGAATTTCAACTAGAATAGGGTACGTTAATCGTTTGCTTGGGACCAATAGGCTACTAAAGTGGTGAGCCAATTTAAAATCGTTAGTTTCGTATTGATTGTTGGTCTTAGAGTTACCTCTATGCTACTACTGGATTGAACTAGCATTTTCACCAAATGTACTAGAATGTTTTGGTTCTATCTCTTTCACTCTACTCAAAACTGAAATGCATAAAAAAATGACAAAATGATACACTCTTTGCACACTGTCAAAGAATCATTGTACACAAAATCAACTTTGTGCAAAACCAAAACAAAAATACTATCCCATCTGGTGGATGATGGCACAAGCTTCTAAGAAAATTCTATTACAGCGAACCACATTATTTTATTTGATTTCTTCGCCAGTTAGTCGTCTGTCACTTCGTTTGTGGTACCAGTTTTATTCGTAAATATCAGACCAAGTTTGGTTAAAAACGATTCTGGAGAAATGTTTGAAAATTGTCTGTCATTTCAAATTTGTATCGAAGACTCTAGCAAGAACGAAATTTATTAAGAAAGTTTTTTTGAAATACAATAGATTTGCCTTGACGATAGTGCCGAAGTGACAGTTCCTTATAAGCTTTTGTGACGGAGTGAGAGAATAAGAAAATGTCCGCCATGTTTCTCACATAGCTTGACAGTTACATAGGAGCGAAGAGTTTCAGAGCTCTCATCAACGCCAATGCAAAGGAGCAGAAGATGAAGTCGCAAGCATTATAAGGCCTTTGTTCTTTCCTTCCCATTTCCAGTAAAATCAACAGCTAATCAACTTTCAATACTCATCAACTCGACTCAACTTGTATTTCAAAGTTTGAAATCCTCCCGGAAGAGGCTTAGACGCGTTTTGCTCCTGCTGCTGCCGCCATCGCCGCCATAAACATGTTGGGGCATAGCTGGGGCCTCATTATGGCAGTCGATACGAAGCGTTTTTCAACTTGCGAACATAATGTGGCCCCAGTTTTTTTCTACTAATTTCCTCTGTGTGTGATGCTTTCATTCGCGAAAACCACGCTTCTCGGTGTTTCTGATGTTTTTTGTTAGTCTCTTAACCTTATATGTATGCAATGTTTTTTTTTAGTAAGTTTCACATTTAGTTTTCTGTTGTTTTTTTTCTCCTTCTAATTCATCATATGTGCTTCCTTATTTCGATTAATCAACACATAGAACGGAAAAAAGACTCTTGTCGACAGGTTTGTGAATTTTGCTGCTGTTTTTTTTTTAGAATCACTTTTTGATATTTTCAAACGCCTTTTATCCCTTGAAGCCGAATTGGTTTCACACCGTTTGTGACAAGAGCAACTCTAGGTATTCATGAATTAGTTCTATTCTTCTTCTTCCGCCATCGCACCATCAAATATTCTTATCAAATTCCGCTAAAAGACGTGTATATTAGTGTTTGTTTTCGGAAATTCTCCTCGATTCTAAATTTTAAATTTAGTTCAATATCTTTTCTTTTATCAACTCTTAATGCTAAAATTTATTCTGAATGACACCATCGTTCTCTGCTTTAGGCGAATAATCATTTTACAGTAAACTGGGTTCTTTACTTTGTTATTAAATGTGTAGTGTAGTGACTTTAATATACGTTTTTTTTTATCCATCGATTTGGAAGTAAAATGAAAGTGTGAAAGTGTGTACGTGTTCAACATTAGGTTTTAGTTGCTTTTTTAAACACCACTACATTTAATATAGATTTGGTTTAACAGTGTTTTCTTTTGTTTTTTCCTACGTTTACTTCCAATAAATACACTTTTGTAACAAACTTGAGCACGATTGGCTTTTCCAGTGATAAAGCGCTATTGAGCCGTTGCCAACACAAAATGCGAACTTCTTGCGCTGAGAAGCATAGATGATCTCGATCAAAACAGGGGCGACAGGCTTTTAAAACAATAACAACAACAACAACGCCACGTTTTCTACGAACGATTTTACTGTTTCTATACTGTGTGCTCTGCCACCGACCGTAATCGAAGTAAGCCAAGAGGCGTTGAAATCAATCGCAAGCGCCGTAGCAACCAATCATAGCCTACTTTGTGTTTTGTTTTTTTGTTTGTTTTCCTACTCAACGAACGGATTCTCAATCCTTATTTGTTTTTTTTATTCTTTAAAATAATTATTCCGTCTATTTGCACTCACATTTTGATTACGTGGCTTTTAAGAATAACGGTTTGGTGAATTTCTACCGCTTTGGAACCAGTTCAAAAATCTAGAAAATATATGCCTTTTGTTTCCAACGTTAAAATATTAGTTTCCCTCTGCGGTTTTAAAATTCCAATAAAACGTATAATAACGTAACACATTTACAGGAGTTTTCTGGATGCTTTTAAAAAATTCCTATAATCAGATTTGATATTTTTAAATATTGGTTCTATCTCTCTTCCGGATAACTTGTTTGTGTTTTTTTTTCTTTTGTTTATTTCAGTGCACGTGTTCAAAACGTCAAATGTTGCACGCAAAAAGCGAACTTGAGTGAAAAATGCGTCTAATTGCATACACAGGTTTCTGCGTTTGGCTGTACATTGTTTGTTTGTTTCTCTACACTCATATCTGTGTGTGTGTATGCGATTTCCAACTTTAGAATGTATTCTTTTTCTACCGCTTGGTTGGTTTTGTAAAATTTTAATATTGTCTTCTTTCTCCATATTATGTAGTTTTTTTTTTCTTAGTTCTTCGTGAGCTAGTAGCAGTGGACATTTTGCTGCAGATTTTAGGGAGCTGAAAAGTTGGTTGTTGTTCGAGCGAGACAGAGAGAGAGATAGAGTAAGTTTTGCGTGAACGTGAGTGCGAATTCAGCGACACGTGCTGGATAGATTATGACAGTGACGTGAATGAGTTTTTGCATTAGAATGGGTGGTGGAGTACTGGTTGGTAGACGTAGCGGGATTTGCTTTTCCGGATCGATCGGTAATTTGGTAATTTTCAATGCAGGGTAATGTTTAGTTAATGTTTTACTTTCGTATCAGAGAACAAGGAAACGCAAGTCTAGTTAGTTCCATGTGCTTAGGCTCTGAAACATTTAATGGCTATTTTTAACTTTTGGTTAAAATTTGACAGATGGAAAGTTATCGATTAACCCTACTATCCGAGGGTGGTTATTTCTGCCAGACAATAAGTTAAATTTTGACATTCGTGGCTGAGTTTTTCTCGAAAACCGGTCGATCGACAGCACAGGGGTTTTCGAACATAGAGAATAACTTTCGAAATGTCACTTTTAACCACGAGTTATTTAACTCGGCAAATGGTTCACAGCCTTAATTGGACTGTCGGTTCTTTTACTCTCTGGGTAAAAGGTTGTTATAAATTCGGGGAAAGCAAGATCAATGTAAACAAGGTGATACAAAAGTAATAATAACTCAGCTCAAAGAATCTTCTTGATCCTCTTTTCATTGTAACAAATAAAAGAAAACAAAAACTATTTCTCTACAACAAAGTCATCGAATTTCCTCGGTAGTTTTCTTTCACGCTTCGGTCGGCAATTTTGTGTTGGAGTCGTCGACTTGTCCATACGAACCACCTCTGTTGCTGATGAAATTGCCAACTGCTGCTCACCTTGATATGGTTCATCTTGAACCTCACGCATTTCGACCTCAGGATCTTTCGACGAAGCAGGTGACGACCTCCCTGGCGTGTCTCTCGCAAACAATTTTGCACTGCTGCTGCCGTTGTCGGTTTGTTGTTGTTTGCTGTTGTTTCGGTTCCAGGATGCAAACTTTTGTTCGAAGAAGTTGTGTGAGAAATTGGTTTATTACACGGCTTGGTATGTACCAAGTCACGGCGATAGCAGGATCCACCAACATCCACAATGTACGAGCGATCATTTAGCTTCCGATTTACGGTTGCTGGAGTCCAAACTTTACTTGTATCCGGCTGGAGCTGCACAGAGACTGGCGAACCCGTTTCCACAGCAGGCAGAGCTCGTGATTTCCGATCGTAGTAGTACACGCTTATTCTGGTCAACTCAAAATTGAGTCGAATGTACTCATCTCAGCGGCAAGTAGGGCTACTCAAAATTGAGTAGCCTTATGTTGACTCACTTTTGAGTAAACTACGTTTTCACGTTGTTGGGGACAACTGGAAAACGGAGTACCCCTATCCACTCCGCCGCCGCTGGACTCGCGGGTGACTGTTTTATCCGTCATCCTTCAGATGTCAACAAAGCGCATAAAGAGTGAATGAGATATGTTTTCATCATGTATGTAAATAGAAGTGTTTTTAGTTCGTCATCGTAACAACGTGTTTTATTTTCATTCCGAGTTTTTAATTAGTTTTAATTTGTATTCGCGTATAGTGAGTTCGGCCACCACGTACGGGCGCGGGATACAAAAGTGGCGACTTCGGGAGTGCAAAAGTTGTGAAAAGTGGTGAAAATATCCCATCACAACGTTACCCACAGTGAAACGAAGAAGAATGGATGACAACTCGTTCGACGGGAATCCGGGTCCTATTCAGCCGGGAAATGGACAGCAGTTGCCTACCGGGAATGTGCGACCGATTCCGCAGCAGCAACAGTTCAGAAATCCGCCTCCAGCCGGACAAGTGGACCCGTACCTGCTATGGTTTCAGCAGCAGCAGCAGAATTATGTCACGGACCTTTTTCGGCAGCAGCAGGAGATTATGCAGCAACAACAGCAAGCGTTTATGGCCCAGCAGCTGATTCGCAGTATAATGACATCGATCCAGGTGCAGGTCCCAGCAAATCCGGAAGCTGTTTCAGATTCCTTGGCGAACAATATCAAGGAGTTCAGATACGATCCCGACAGCAATGTTACGTTCGCTGCGTGGTATAGTCGATATGAGGACTTGTTCGCGAAGGATGCCAGCCGACTCGACGGAGAAGCAAAAGTGCGCTTGCTGATGCGAAAGCTGGGGATGTCGGAGCACGAAAGATATATCTGCTTTATTCTGCCAAAGGCACCGAAAGATTTTGACTTTGCGGTGACGGTAAAAAAGTTGACCAGCTTGTTCGGTGCTGCCGAATCTGTGATTAGCCGGAGGAATCGTTGCCTGCAAATCGTCAAGCAGCCACAGGAGGATTATGTGACGTATGCATGCCGCATTAACAAATCGTGCGTCGAGTTCGAGCTGTCCAAGCTATCGGAGGAGCAGTTCAAGTGCCTCGTATTCGTGTGTGGCTTGAAGTCGGACAAAGATGCAGATGTGCGGATGCGGCTGTTGTCGAAGATTGAGGAGCGGAATGATGTTACGCTGGAACAGCTGTCGGAAGAGTGTCAACGTTTGTTGAACTTGCGGCACGATACTGCGATGATTGAGGAGAACTCAATGTCTGTGAAAGCCTTGAAGACGAAGCAGTACCGTTTCAAGGGAACCTCGCCGTCGAAGCTCAACCAGTCCGGTAGTGAGAAGGGTAGTTGGAGAGCGAGCAGCGGGAAGACTAGTCCGGAAACAGCTTGTTGGCTATGCGGTGGCATGCATTACGCCAGGGAGTGCACGTACAAAAGCCATAAGTGCAGCGATTGCAGCCAGGTAGGCCATAAGGATGGCTACTGTCGGAGTGCAGCGAAGGTAAAATTTAGGCGACGGAAGCCCAACGTTGCAGCGGCCAAGGTAGTGACTGTGAATTCGTGCAGTGTGCAGGAGCGTCGAAAGTACGTGCCGGTTGGAATCAATGGATTACCGGTGCGTATGCAAATCGATACGGGGTCTGACATCACGATAATTTCGTCGGATACCTGGTGCAAGATTGGCAGCCCTTCAACGTCTGCGTCGACGATTATCGCAAAGACAGCCAGTGGTAGGCCATTGCAGATTGAAGGTGAGTTTTCTTGGTATCTTTCCATTGACCGGCGAGTGTTGCGTGGCTTGATTCGGGTCACCAAGGAACAGTTACACCTGTTGGGTTCTGACACGATCGATGCTTTCGGATTGTGGTCGGTTCCTTTCGATTCAATTTGCAACCAGATCAGCAGCACTCCGGCCAGTGTAAGCGGGTTAAAGGCAGAGTACCCGAATGTGTTTTCTGGCGATCTTGGGCTATGTAAGAAAACGAAGGTGAAGTTCCAGTTGAAGGCCGGAATTACCCCTGTGTTTCGTCCAAAGCGTCCGGTAGCGTATGCCATGTACCAGACGGTGGACGATGAACTGGACCGATTGGAGCGAAAGAAAATTATCGAACCGATAGACTTCTCGGAGTGGGCAGCTCCGATTGTGGTGGTTCGTAAGGCGAATGGTACGATCCGTATCTGTGGGAATTATTCAACGGGACTGAATGACGCTCTACAGCCCCACCAGTACCCTTTGCCTCTTCCGCAGGACATTTTCGCTAACCTAGCAAACTGCACCGTCTTCAGCCAAATAGATTTGACGGATGCGTTTTTGCAAGTGGAGGTGGACGAAAGTTCTCGTGACCTCCTGACCATAAACACGCATCGAGGACTGTACCGCTACAATCGTCTCCCGCCAGGGTTGAAGGCAGCGCCGGGAGCGTTCCAGCAGTTGATCGACACGATGCTGGTTGGCCTGAAAGGAGTGAGCGGCTACCTGGATGACATCGTTGTCGGTTTGTTGTTGTTTGCTGTTGTTTCGGTTCCAGGATGCAAACTTTTGTTCGAAGAAGTTGTGTGAGAAATTGGTTTATTACACGGCTTGGTATGTACCAAGTCACGGCGATAGCAGGATCCACCAACATCCACAATGTACGAGCGATCATTTAGCTTCCGATTTACGGTTGCTGGAGTCCAAACTTTACTTGTATCCGGCTGGAGCTGCACAGAGACTGGCGAACCCGTTTCCACAGCAGGCAGAGCTCGTGATTTCCGATCGTAGTAGTACACGCTTATTCTGGTCAACTCAAAATTGAGTCGAATGTACTCATCTCAGCGGCAAGTAGGGCTACTCAAAATTGAGTAGCCTTATGTTGACTTACTTTTGAGTAAACTACGTTCTAACGTAGACTGAGTCAAATCCACTCAGCGATATTTTCAGTTGCGGGGAGTGTTTTTGATTTTGATTTTTATTTAAGGAAATGGAAATTTCCTGCTCCGGATTCATTCTAACGGAGCAGAAAATGCTTCAACACCGTTTCCCTAAGCAATTCCTTCTTACCTGAAGGCATTTCAGCCGGTTTTGAGTAACTTTTCCTAGGAAGTTTCCTCCAGCATGGTTGACATTTTTTCTAAGTCCAGGATTTTGCTGACTGAGTGGCTTTTACTCAGCTTGACATTTCTCGTTTACTCAGTTTTTGACAACTCGATACATCGGACGAAAGTGAGTACGATCGACTTACCCGGTGAGTAAGCTGAAGTTAGCGTGTACTTCATCCTCTTTTTATTTTCCAGGATATCCTCCGGGACGTTTCTTACCACATTGGGGCAGTATTTTTATGCTGCAGGTGGGACACCGCATCTGGTGCTCCGAGAGAAAAGTCTGCTTGCAGGACTGCTGCCGATTTTGTTCGGTATATTTCTCCAATGTAGAAGAACATAGCAAAAGCTTTGACCTGCTTCATCTGCTTTCTGGATCAGACGCTTTACTATCTTCACGGCGGCCTTAGCCTTGCCGTTGGCTTACTGGTGATTCGGAGCCGATGTAGAGTACTGGAAGTTCCACGATTTGGCCATTGCCTTCATTTCCTGATCAACAAAATTACTCCCGCTGTCTGATATGACTAGCTGGAACTCCATGGCGTGCGAAGTTAATCTGACAGGTCTTCACAAGGCAGCGGACTGACAAGTCCTGCAGTATGTCAACCTCGATTTAGTCGGAAAAATGATCGACCGTAACACGAAAGTTTCTGCGTTTGCCCGCGTACTCCGCGAAAAATACGTCCATCGACACGATCTGGAATGGATACACGGGAACTGCAGTACTCTGCATAGGAGTCGTTGCTTGGCTGCTGGCGAACTTAGGCGCATTCTTTAACCACATCCACTATCTGTGAGCTCATACTCGGCCAAAATAAATTCTTCCTCGCTAGTCTCAATGTCGATTCAATCTCGTTGTGACTAGTGTGCACCTTGTCTACCATGGATCGCTGGAGAGAACTAGCAATAACAATCCTATCGTTCTTGAACACTAGACCATCTTGGGTTGAAAGCTCGCTTCTGTACCGTTTTCGCCACTGCTGGAACAAGTTGGACTTAGTTTGGCCAGCCGTTACAAATATAATCGATGACCTTCACGAGGTCTTCAGCAGTCGCTTCGATGATGGTGTCTTAACAGTTGTCCCTTGGATTCCAATCTTCCAATTCACCTTCCGAAACTCCACCAAGGCGCTTGCATCGTCGTATGGTGCTCGAATGACGAATTGAATTTCCAAACTGTAACGTTGTAAGTTCAACAACATGTGCTGCAGTCTTTTAGGTGTGGTAAGTAGAGGCTTTTTGAAGATGTTAATCAACGGTTTGTGATCCGTTCTGATGATCGTTTTAGCACAGACAAACAGACATAACACTCGCAAGATGTTCATCGAACAAGCATTTAACGGTCAATTTAAACGTATCGTAGTTGGTAGTACCGCCACCCTTGGCGCGCATAGTCATTTCCCTTGAGTTTGACGTTTACACACTACCGCCACCTGTTCAGCGTACTACCCACCACAGTGTACTCAACAGATGGCGGTAATGTTTTAGCGACGATGTTTTACAGTGAGAAATATTCAATGTGTTATGTCTGTTTGTCTGTGGTTTTAGGATTTCCGACCACCAGCTGATCGAACCTAGTGCAGGCGAACAGAATTGCCAGGAGCTCTTTTTCAATTTGAGCGTAGTTCCGCTCAGTTTTGGTAAGCGTTCGCGAAGCGTATCCGATTATGCCATCCTGCTGAAACACTGCTACACCCAAACCAAAGAGACTCGCGTCGCATTCGATCATCAACGGCTGACGAACATCATAGTATCGAAGCGTTTTAATGTCCGAAACGAGAGATTTAAATCTTTCGAACTCCTTGTCATGAACGTCACTCCACACCCACGGTTCCTTCTCGGTTATCAGTTTCCTCAGATTAGTACAACTTACGCTCAAATTTGGAATGAACTGACTCAAATAAGTGGTCATGCCAATGAAGCGGTGAAACTCGGCTCGATTCGAGGGGACAGGATAGTGCTTGATTGAAGCAATTTTTGACTCATCTGCTTGTAAGCCCTGATTTGACGGGACATAACCATAAAATCTTACGGAGGTCTCGCAAAGGGTTAGTTTCGAACAATTTAATTTTACATTATTCTCCCTCAATCGAAAAAGTAGACTCTCGAGATTACGGTTGTGATTTTCTAGTGCCTCTCGAAACGTCCTACCTCGATCATAAATCAACAAGTCGTCAGTCAAGCACTCCAAACCGTCTAGGCCCTAGATGATCTCCTGCAGCTTGGTTTGAAAAATGTCGGGAGCCGAAGAGATGCCAAAGGGTCATCTCAGCCACCGATATTGTCCGAATGGGGTCCAGAATGACGTCAATTTACTACTGCGTTCGTCCAAATCCACGTGCCAAAATCCCTTCCGAGCGTCGACAGTAGAAAATACGTGCGCCTGGTCCAACTCCGGCAAAATCTCGTCCAGCGTCACAAACTGAAGCTTCGGGCGCTTCAAAGCCTTATTCAGTGGAATTGGATCCAAGCAAATTCGAAGAGACTCAGAGCCTTTTGGTCCACGTTTAACAAGTAGTAAATTACTCACCCATTCGGTGTGGTTGTACTCCCTGGTTATGATGTTATCTTTCTCGAGGTTGTCCAGCTCCACCTTCAAGGGGGCTAACGGGTGAAACGTTGGTATCGATTTCCAGGCTGACCGTGCCAGGCATTTTCCCGTAGCCGTTGAAAATGTCGCTGTTTCCTTCGACGATCTCCTCGGCCCTGATACTGTACACTTTCAGCATGTCTTGTTCGGTTTCCGACCAGCGTAGGGCATACCTTCAACGACAAAAGTGGTCTGTGATCTACTCCGACTACCTGTAGAACCAGCAGATACTTTTTCTCCTTGTGCTTGTAGAGTATTTGCACCTGTCCTAGTACGGGAATGGTACTTCCACCAAAAGCATGGAGTTTGGAAGGCGATGCAAGAAGCTTGGGGTTGGGGTTGCCTGAAAGCTTGCACAACCAGTCGTAACCAATGAGACTGGTATTAGCTCTTGATCTTCATCCACTTATCGTCGACCTTCAGCTGAATCTCCGCTAGCACATTTCCGCCTTGTTTGGAGTTGTCGAAAATTTTTCCAATTTCACCTTCGATCTCCGACTCATCTGACCGCTCACTGCATCTATCGTTCGAACTGTCTTCATCCGTACTCCACTCAGCGATCTTTACTTTCTTGATCCTTCGTGAGCTTCGTCTTGAGGTGCGGCCACCTGTTCAATGTCACGATCTTGAAGGTTAGCATTTCTGTCTCCAACACACCGAACCGCCATGGTTTTGCGTTGACACAAAGTCGTCGATGCTCTCCGTCGACAGCTGTGCGGAGGTGAAAAATTCTAACCGACCAACGATAACGTTTCGGGTACAAATCACTTTTCTCTTGATGGCTTCGAGAACGGTGTCCGAAGTTCGTTTATCCTCCGCAGTGAGTTCACAAAGTTGAAATACTTATTTAGCGCAGGAGTTTCAATGATTTATAATAGGAAACTCACTTTCTTGGGATTGTCGGCGGGGGCCAGTTGTTCATCCCAATCGCTGTCACATAATTTCGCCAGTTGCACAAAATCTCTTCCATGTCCCCGTCAATGGCAAGAGGGAGCGGAACGTTGGGTGATAGTGCTACTGCGGCCACTTCCTCATCTGCTTCACAAGCTCGCCGAATAGCTTGTTCTGGTTTTCCAACAGTATTTGCTATTTGATCCATTTTGCTTGGATAACCTCATTTTTCTGTGAACGGGTGAACTGACAAAAAACAAAATGGCGTCGTGGGGCTTCCGCGTACACTCGTAACGCGCCGCGAGAGAGAAAGTTCTATTCGCTTTCGGTCTTCTCCGGTCAGCCTCCGCGTAACTCGACTTGTTCCCCGGTCAACTTAAACGATTTCGCGATCCGAAACTTTTTACGAATTTAATCCCCGAGAACTTCTGACACCATGTTTTACTTTCGTATCAGAGAACAAGGAAACGCACGTCTAGTTAGTTCCATGTGTTTTATTGGACTGTCGGTTTGTTTACTCTCTGGGAACAAGGTTGTCATAAATCCGGGGAAAGCAAGATCAATGTAAACAAGGTGATACAAAAGTAATAATAGCTCAACTCAAAGAATCAGTTAAACCAGTTAAGAGTGAAAATTTTGACAAGTCAAGCTGAACACTGCATTAGGTCCTAAGTAACATTGACAGATTATCTTTGTCGACTTTCTCGTTGCATCCTCATGGTCAGGTTAAGAAATTCCCAGCTACTTTCAGCACACAGATCGATGGAAGAAGCTATTAAAGGCTGACTAAAAGTAAATTGGTAAGCCCCTCGCACGCCTCTAGTATTGGGAATCGAAAATCAGTTGACAGTGGTTTGTTTACACTTCTATAGAGAACAACTGGTGCAAGTTTGATCAAAGTAGTCGATCGCGTTCAGAAATAACGTCAAGTGGAACTCGAAACGAGATAAAATATTGTGCACAAACACCTGTAAAATCCGGAGTGGTCCGGTTCCAAGCTGGCTAAAGTGCTGAATATGCCGAAAAAGTGTGGAAAGGCATCAGCGGACCTACAAAAAAAACTGGAATCAGGGATCGTAAGCTGTGCAGCAAGGTGTTGAGGTGCGTTTAAGCCAACCCCAGTCTTTCGATCCGAGATGTGGCCAGAAGGTACAACGCCAGCTTTCAAACGATGCGGAACATCCTTTCCAGGGAAGGAAACAAGTCGTACAAAGCCAGTAAACATCCGAACCGGATGAAGTAGAATTCTTGGACGACCGTGTTTTGACGAAACATAAGGGCTGCACGTTGATCGATGACGAAACACACGTCAAACTCGATTTTAAGCAGCTTCCCGGTCAAAAATCTTACATCGCGATTGGACGTGGTGATGTGCCGGGAAGATTCAAGTTCGCGAAGAAGGCCATGATTTGGCAAGCGATTTTCAATTGTGGCCTGAAAACGGAACCATTCGTCACATCCTCGACGATGACATTCCAAGTTTACATCGAAGAATGCCTGAAAAAGCGTGTACTGCCGTTCATCCGCAAGCATAGGGGCAAAGTCATCTTTTGGCTCGATTTGGCCAGCTGCCACTACTCTAAGGTGGTTCTGGAGGGGTATGCTGCCAACAAGATCGATTTTGTCCCCAAGCTATTTCGGAATTTTGACCAATCGAAGCAGCGACTTCGACGAAACGGCGGGGCAGTCAAGGACATCCAGCAAATGCGGGCAAAATGGAAGAAATGCGCTGATTCCGTGTCCGTTTCCACTGTGCGGGCGCTGATGGGCTCCATCAAGAGAAAGGTTCGATATTTCGTTCGAACTAGAGAAATGTAACCATCTAATGCTGTTACTTTAAATCACGAATTGCAGGTCTTTTTGTGCGTACCAATTTACTTTTAGTCAGTCTTTAACTACCTTCTAATATGACAAACAATAGAACCCAAGTTATTAATACAAGAGAAAGTTGATGAAGAGAATCGATCAATGTTACTTAAGACCTAATGCATTGTTCAACTTGAAGCTAGTGAGCAATTTCATCAGAGCAAGCTACTGTTTGTAAAATATTGGGTTTTCACCTGTAATGTGGAACGTAAATGTTAGAGAGCGTCCATTATAAGAGAGGAGCGGACTGGCTGGTTTTGAGCCAGTCAAGGCTAGAGCCAATCGAGCAGCGCCTATCTTGATTGCATTGGCAGTGTTGCTAGAAATACCCTAGACATAGGTTGCCAAGGCAGTTTGTTTTGAATCCGATCCTCTCTTATACTAGACCCTCTCTATACAAAACTAGAGCACGCAATATTTCTGATGTTTTTGGAATATTCCTGAAATTCTTGGAATTTTCCATAATTCCACGGAAATTCTTGGAAGCTCCTGCAAATAATCAACGGAACTGCTCTGAAGTTCTCTGATAAACCTTCAAGCAACCTTGAAAATTATGAAATTGCCTAAACATCTCAAAACTCCTCTAGACTTCACTGAGGATCTCAAATTATCTGAGTTTCCAGTTAAGTTAATTGAACTGAACAGTGGTACATTGACCATCTCTGATGTTCTCAAAGCTACCCCGAAGTTTGCGCAATTATCATGAAGTTCTTCACCTTAACATTTTCCCTGCAAATTTCCGGACTTCTGTAAAGTTCCCAAAATATGGATGAAGTTTTCTAAACTTTTCAGCAGTTGTCTGGACTTTCCTGAAATTCCCAGGACTCTCAAAGTTTCTCGAAGTTTTCCCGGAATTCATGGAGCTGACCAAAATTAATCAAAACTAACCCTTACAGATCTTAAAATTTCCCGAAATGCTGTCCTGAAGCTGTTGGGACTGCCCTTAAGATCTCTGAGCTTGTCTGAAGAGCTCTGGTCCTAACTTGTCTGAAGGATTCTAGGAATTTCTATGAAGTATTCACAGTTTTCTCAAGTTCTGTGGACTTCTCTGAAGTTTTCATGACTACCAATAATTCCTTAGAACGTCTCAAAAGTTCCCCCAATTTTTCTGATATTCATGGAACGACTTTGAGATTTTCAGAACTGCCCCAAACTTCACTTCCCTTAAAATCTTCAAATATCATTTGAAGTCTTGGAAACCTCTGTAAAGGTCCAGAAATATTCCATAATTTATTGGATTGCTTCTTGAAATCAGATCTTAAAACAAATCCTGAACGCTCTTTAAATTCTCAGAGCTACCCTGTAGTTTTTTGGGACTTCCTTGACATTTCCGAAGAACTTCGAGATTAGGGCGTAATTGCTTTTGTAAACAAGCACGTCAATCACCGATTTCTCGCGAATTAAAGCTCAATCTTGAAATCTACCAACACAAACAGGTAGAGGAATGACCCCTCTATCATTTGGTCTAGTTTGTTTACGAGATTGAGCTTTTGTTCGCGAACAATCGGCGATAGACGGGTTTGTTTACAAAAGCAATTACGCCCAAATCTCAAAGTTCTTCGGATTTTAGGAATTTAGCTGAAACTCTCAAAACTTCTTGAAGGCTCCCGCAATTAAAAAAAGAAAGGCCATGGTATGGACCTAGCACCAAGTTAACATTTTTTCTTGAACTTCATTAAAGATTCTGCCAAGCTATTTTTTAAATTTTAAAATTTTTGGGAAATTCCCTTGAGTTTACAAAATTTTTCGGATGCTCGTGGCACTATACTGAAATTATCTGAACTCTCTCGAAACTTGCTGACCTTTTTCAAAGATATTTAAACTTTCCAGATGCCTCCGGTAAAATGTGTAACGGCAAACTTGCAATGTTTGAAAAATCATAGCTCAGCCATTTATTGACAAATCTCAAATCTATTAGCGCATTTTGAAACTACATACCCTAAAGATTTATTCGCTATCTAAAGATTTAAAATCTATTGATAAATTGCTGAGCAAATGATTTTTCAAACATTCCCAATTTGCCTTTACACATTTTACCGGAGGCATCTAGTTCGGAGTGTTAAAGATCCGGAAATGTTCTCGAAGTTACTGGAGCTGTCATGACGTACTCAGAGCTTACTCTAAAAGATGTTTAAACTTCCCCAAAGTTCTGGACTTCTTGTAGTCCTTGGAACTTCCCTGAAATTTTGTAAACTTCTCTATATATTTTGAATGTTCTCTAATGTTCTTGACTGTACTCGAAAAAAAGTGAGACAGATTGATTAGATTATAACTTTCAACTTGTGGGTAAACATTGATGAAATTTTGACTGAAACTAGCTAAGAGTGTAATGTTTACGCTGGCGAGATTTGATCACAATCTGTCAAGTGGTTATCGAGATGGCATCGGAGCAAGAGCAGATCCGCCAAAAAATCTTGTGCACCGTCGTGGAAAATCCGACTGCGTCCCACAGATGGATCGGAAAACTCGTGGGAATCCATCATTCGACGATTTCCCGAAGACAGCTGACCCGGTGAAGGCCAGGAAGGTGTTGAGCCTGTTCAAGCGTCGGCCGAATTTTTCGATCCACGATGCGACGAAGAAGGCGACATCCACGATGAAATGTACCGGCATCCACGTCTACAAGGTCCGGAAGGCACCGAACCGGAACGACAAACAGAACTGTACCGGGAGTGGCTGACGAAACCGAGGTCCGTCCTGATGGACGACGAGACTTACATCAAGGCAGCACACAGCAGTTGCCGGGGCAGGAGTTTTACGTTGCCACGGTCGGCCGTTCCTGAAGAGGTAAGGAAGAAGAAGGTTGACAAATTGGCCATCTGTGGGTGTGTCAAGATGAGCCAGCCGTACATCACGACGGGGACCATCAACGGACAAATCTACCGGGACGAGTGCCTCCAGGCGAGACGCTGTTTTGGCCGGATTTGGCATCCGCGCGGCCTGTGTTAGACTGGTACAGAAACAGCAATGTTGCTTTTGTACTAAAAGACGTCAACCCATCGAACTCGCCGAAATTTCGCCCTATTGAGAAGTTTTGGGCAGTGCGCAAAACAGTCAGGTGATATGCATATGAACTGTCATCGGCCTCATTATTCACTGCCTCGTGAGAGTCTGAATGATTCAGAGGTAAACGAGTCACTGACAGCCGAGCACTCAGTCAGTAACTCAGTCAACACGTTTATTCTTCTGTGATGGTACCCAATATTTGTTTTGAATGACTGAGAGTGCATTTTCTATGAAAAAATGACTCAATTACATGCTGTGTGAGTGAAGGCAAGCGGTGTGCGTCACCTGCTCGTGAGTGACTGAATGTTTTGGTTGGCTCTTTCATTGCCTCGTCCTTTACCGTTTGGTACAAATGGTCTGCACATAGCTATTGATTGAATAGTGCAGTGCTTTCGCACTCAGCCTAGGCAGTCAATAATTTTAAGCTCTGGTTTTGGGTCATCGTGAAGGCCAGACTTCCTTAAACACCTAAGGTGTTGGAGAACGAGCTGGCTTTGAAGCAACAGTGGGTAAAAGTATCAAAAGAAGTCGGCCCCGCCATTGCCCAAAACCAAAGGTTTCAAGGGATAGGTGCGGGCATTCGGTTATGAAGGGGAGATCCAATAATGCAATGTTGTAGAAACCTAACCATAATGTTGTAGTTTTTTCCCATGTATAGTTTAAGTATCATAATTATTAAAGTCTACGTATACTTTAAGAGGGTGGAGGAGGGGTTCAAGAAATTCAAATATAGTCTACGAGGGGTTATAAAGTATAACATTGTGTTCAACGTGAATTATGAACGGCCCCAAAATTTCACAGCAGTCTATCCTAACGTAACATGGTAACATCTTGTTAATGGAATCGCTAAATTTAAACAACTGTCCTGATTGTTGTCATGCTTCTTTTCTTTCGAAATCATAGCCACCTAGGATACTGCATTAAACACGGTAAGCGTCCAATGTCAAACCGAGGGGTGATTGATTGAAATTATAGCGAGTGTGGTTCTATAAAAGACCCAACGAAAAAAATTACCTGCAGACTAGCTGATACAGGCACAAATTAGCTGTATAAGCCAATTCTTTTTGCTGTATAAGCTAGACTGCAGCTAATTTTGTTACTTGGGGAGAGTGTTTGAAACTTCATTTACCAGCTACCGATCAAGCATCCGATGAAACAACTCCCACCTAGGCTTCCAGTTCTTCAGACGCGGCGAAACGCAGGCCAACCCCCGAAGGTTAGTGACGGGGAGATGATTTATAAGAGACGCGAGAAAAGACATCAATAGCATTTTCAAAAAATTCTTTCTACACTTTACCGAGACTGCCTTTCGCCTACCTGCCGGCTGGCCTACTTGCGGGATAGGCTCTTGGTCGACGTCTTCTCGATGTGGACCAGGATGCTGTTGGAGGTACCGAACGTGGACACCCGTATGTCAAACTTCCCGTCCAGTCCGAGCGGGTGTGTCATTAATCTTGCACTTTCGATCGTCGACTCGCACAGTCTGCAAAACGAGAAAAGGAAGAGAGAGAGAGATGATGAAAATTCGTCAGAAATGAAAAATGAATTCCCAGCAAAGGATGAATTCGTGCCGGACACAGTCGAGCGGTGGTGGTTGGGACTGATTCGAGGGAAATCAGTGATTTGAGCAGGGATTGGAGGTTTTTTTTCTCTTCATAATCAAGCTTCCCGGTTCGGTGATCTAAATCCACAACTAATGGTTTCTCTTTTGGGATGTAGCTTCACTTTCAGATATAAGAAAAAAACTATCGGATCACATGACAAGTCAGCGAACTGAGAACTTCAAATATTTGGACAGGTTTGGAGAGATTTGTGGCATATAGCCCCTCGCTGTATAAATTTGTCGAGCATTGAAATTCCTTTTTATCCGGAGAGCGTATATTAATTGTACAGCTTTCACTACACGGTAAAAAAACATCATGTTAATGTAAAGTGATTTGCTGTTGAACTACTTGCCAAACATTGCAAATCGATGTGCAAATCCCTTGGAAGATATCACATCGAAGCACGATGAAATCAACAGCAAATCACTTCATTTTAGATTGTATTGCAGATCGTTGTTAATGTGCTGTGCTTTGAACACGAAATGTCGAGCATACTGAAATTAAAAATCTATCACTTATTTATTTATATTATTTAACTAATTTATCCGTGGATTTCATGTTTGCTAAATATGGATTTAAACAATTAATTGCCTTGTTCATACTGCAAGCCTTGTTATTGTTATGTTATTCAGAATATAACCATAGAACATATCAAGCTGAACATTGCATTAGGTCCTAAGTAACATTGACAGATTCTGTTCGTCGACTTTCTCTTTGTATCCCCACGGCCATGTAAATACATTCCCTGGTATTTCCAGCACACAGATCGATAAAAGAAGCTTTTATTTAGCATCTAATACGACAAACACAGCAAGAAACGGTTATGTGCTCAAGTTATTAACGAAAGAGAAAATCGACGAAGAGAATCGATCAATGTTACTTAGGACCTATTGCAATGTTCAGTTTGTATATCATATATTACTACCCAGATCACATGTTTCCAAGTGATATTGAGCAACATTACAAGGCTTGTAGTAGAGGTAACATTGAGCAATCAATTTGATAAGTCTGACAATGTTTTGCAATAGAACTTTTCTGAATAATACACTATTATTGAATGCAACAACAATTTCGTAATACTCTCGCTCTAGAATGCAAATTATTTCGGGTGCAAATGGAGAATTATCGCTTTCTTGCTCTTAATTCATTTGTGGTTGACTTGTCATCTTCGCGAAAAATGTTTGGCATGTGCGTTTTTAACATTTGCTTCCAAAAGCAAAACTAATCAAATTCAATGGATGAAAACAGTGGTGCCAATTCAAATGATAATCATTTTGATTTAAAGGTGTTATACAGTACATTTTTTCAACGACAAATCACTTTGTTTCAAAACGCAAATCACTTGAAAATCAATGATAAATCACTTCGATTCGTAGTGCCGGATGACAGACTGAGTCAAGTGCAAGAGCATTTGGAATAGATGTAACAACTTTTACCGTGTACTTTACACGCAAAAATCGGTGCTAACATTTCAAAAGGGTGAAATTGATTGGCTTTAGCCGTCGGTTTCTTGATAATATAAGCTCACGCATGCAAAGTAACGACACCATCCGAGCAACGTTTCCTCTACCAGCATCTAGGCATCGTTAATTTGCAGGCGTAAGCTTCTATTTGCGAAAAATCGATGGTTGAAGTAATTGTTTACAAAAGCAGATGCGCCCCTTTTAAAAATGTTAGTACCGAAGTTTTGCATGTAATACCCCGTATAGACTATGGCTTATATCATGTAATATAGGCTGTCTTGTAATGAGCAGTCATACATCTAGTTTTCACTGGAAATCCTATGTATGAGTGCTCATTGCAAGACAGCCTATATTACATGATATAAGCCATAGTCTGTCGGGGTAATAGTCTGTACGGGGTATATAGTAGTGAAAGCAGGGGTGGGATGTGGCTGTCAAATCAAGAGCAAATTTTCATTACGTCGGAAGTAACAAAGGTAAACAAAATCGAGCTATCAGTGTCAATTGATGCTCCTGCTATTACACTACAGTCAGGAATCCTTATTGCCGGGGTAACGGGGGCGTGAATAAGGAACCGCGAATAAGGATACCCACAGCTTATGGGATTTTCACTAATGGGGGCTGTAGTGGATTATCTCATTTGTTTCAATACATAAAGCTATACTGTCTTCGACAAAGTTGCTGTACTGGGTTAGACCAACAAGCCTGTGCTATTGGATTCAGGTTAAATTGGGAACTACGCCGCTAGAGGCGCTTCACTTTTATGTTACTTATGACGGGTGCTATAATATATGGATCATATTTCCAACATAGAATATTTCGTGATCCTGACCATATAGAAAGTTACTGTCTTCAGCAAAGTTGTTTTGGTGACCAAGTCCTTTCGGATGGTGGCCATATTAGTTCAGAACTCTCTCACTACGCAGCGCTAGTGTGCATGTGCAATTCCTATATAAACTGTATCTCGAGAGCCTGGCCATATAGAAAGTTGCTGTTTCCATCAAAGTTGGGCAGGTGATCAAGTCCTTTTGGATGGTGGCCATATTAGTTCAGAACTCTCTCACTACGCAGCGCTAGTGTGCATGTGCAATCCCTATACAAACTGTATCTCGAGAGCCTGGCCATATAGAAAGTTGCTGTTTTCAGCAAAGTTGTTCAGGTGACCAAGTCCTTTCGGATGGTGACCATATTAGTTCAGAACTCTCTCACTACGCAGCGCTAGTGTGCATGTGCAATTCCTATATAAACTGTATCTCGAGAGCCTGGCCATATAGAAAGTTGCTGTTTTCAGCAAAGTTGGGCAGGTGATCAAGTCCTTTTAGATGGTGGCCATATTAGTTTAGAACTCTCTCACTACGCAGCGCTAGTGTGCATGTGCAATTCCTATATAAACTGTATCTCGAGAGCCTGGCCATATAGAAAGTTGCTGTTTTCAGCAGAGTTGTGCAGGTGAGCAAGTCCTTTCGGATGATGTTCATATTAGTTCAGAACACGCTCACTACGCGGTGCTAGTGTGCAAGTAAATTTCCTGTATAAGCTGTATCTCGAGAACCTGGTTATATAGAAGGTTACTGTCTTGAGCAAAGTTGTTCAGGTGACTAAGTCCTTTCGGATGATCGTCATATTATTTCAGAACTCTCACACTACGCGGCGCTAGTGTACACATGAACTTCCTTAATATGTTATGTCTCCAAAGCTTGTCCATATAAGATGTTGCTGTGCAATGTGAGAACAGGAACCGGAAAAGGGATGACGTGTAGAGGCCGGAAATCGATGCCAGACGTCATTTTGGAATCCAAGATGGCGGCCATCGGGTCAAGAAAAACTGTCAAATACCCTACCATATGGGTATTTCCGGATAGGGAACGACGTGTAGAGGCCGGAAATCGATGTCAGATGCCATTTTGGAATCCAAGATGGTTGCCATCAGTTCAAGAAAAACTGTCAATTACCCTACAACATGGGTATTTTCGCATAGGAGATGACATGTAGAGACCGGAAATCGATGTCAGATGCCATTTTGTAATCCAAGATGGTGGCCATCGGGTCAAGAAAAACTGTCAAATACCCTACAATATGAGTATTTCCGGAAAGGAAACGACGTGTAGAGGCCGAAAATCTATGCCAGATGCCATTTTGAAATTCAAGATGGCGGCCATTGTCGTCTGTCATCTATTTCCGGCCTCTACACGTCGTCTCCTTCCAAAAATATCCATATTGTAGGGTATTTTACAGTTTTTCTTGAACCAATGGTCGCCATCTTGGATTACAAAATGGCATCTGACATCGATTTCTCTACACATCATCTCCTATCAGAAAATACCCATGTTGTTGGGTATTTGACAGTTTTTCTTGAAACGATGGCAACCATCTTGGATTCCAAAATGGCTTCTGACATCGATTTTCGGCCTCTACACGTCGTTCCCTATCCGGAAATACCCATATGGTAGGGTATTTGACAGTTTTTCTTGACACGATGGTCGCCATCTTGGATTCCAAAATGACGTCTGGCATCGATTTCCGGCCTCTACACGTCGTCCCCTTTCCAAAAATATCCATATTGTAGGATATTTGACAGTTTTTCTCGAACCGATGGCCGCCATATTGGATTCCAAAATGGCATCTGACATCGATTTCCGGCCTCTACACGTCATCCCTTTTCCGGTTCCTGTTCTCACATTGCACAGCAACATCTTATATGGACAAGCTTTGGAGACATAACATATTAAGGAAGTTCATGTGTACACTAGCGCCGCGTAGTGTGAGAGTTCTGAAATAATATGACAATCATCCGAAAGGACTTAGTCACCTGAACAACTTTGCTGAAGACAGTAACCTTCTATATGGCCAGGTTCTCGAGATACAGCTTATACAGGAAATTTACTTGCACACTAGCGCCGCGTAGTGAGCGTGTTCTGAACTAATATGAACATCATCCGAAAGGACTTGCTCACCTGCACAACTCTGCTGAAAACAGCAACTTTCTATATGGCCAGGCTCTCGAGATACAGTTTATACAGGAATTGCACATGCACACTAGCGCTGCGTAGTGAGAGAGTTCTAAACTAATATGGCCACCATCCAAAAGGACTTGATCACCTGCCCAAATTTGATGAAAACAGCAACTTTCTAATTGGTCAGGCTCTCGAGATACAGTTTATATAGGAATTGCACATGCACACTAGCGCTGCGTAGTGAGAGAGTTCTGAACTAATATGGCCACCATCCGAAAGGATTTGGTCACCTGCACAACTTTGCTGAAAACAGCAACTTTCTATATGGCCAGACTCTCGAGATACAGTTTATATAGGAATTGCACATGCACACTAGCGCTGCGTAGTGAGAGAGTTCTGAACTAATATGGCCACCATCCGAAAGGACTTGGTCACCTGAACAACTTTGCTAAAGACAGTAAC